TGTATTAGCATACATACTCTATATTAGGTCATTTTGAGATAACTCAAATTGTAGAGTTTCAATTTCCATAAAAGTAATGCTTCAAGACATTATTTTGTGTAATATAAAAATTTGTGTCTGTATGTGTATATACATACACATATATGTATGCATATGAGTGCTTATGTGTTTTCAGACAAGACATTTTTATAATCTAATATTTATTGAAACAGACAAATACCTTTGTTCTCCATTTTATAAAATTCCTGGATGTCATTAACTCTGGATCTTTGCCAGTGTCACCTGTAGAACATTGGTATCCGCACATTGTAATATTGTAGCATCATTTAGTTTACATTGCTTTAGCACTCGATGTTTTTAAAAATGATTCTAGTAGGCAAACTCACAAGACCAAAGAAATAAAAATATTTTTTTTCTTATTTTTAGCGTTATAACAATTTGAACACATAGACACTTGCGCTCCCAGTTGCCATTTCTTAATATCAGCAACATCACTCTTGGGGTTATATTTTTCCTTCAGAATTCCCTGGCATTAGAAGATTTTTAAAAGAGCATCTATTGTTTCTTACCATTAGGCACCAGTATATGTGCTCCCTCTCTTATATGTTTGTTGATGAGTGGGTGGCAGAAAGAGTGAATTGCTTTGTTTTTGTTTCAACATTAAATCCCTCAGTGGCTTCAAACTTGGTAAATAGACTGACCAAACTGGTTAGCCAAAATCAAAGATCCATCTGTCTTTTTCCATTAACAATGGAATTACAAACCTTAGTCAACACATCATCTTTCCACTGGGCTCTTAGTTCTATTATTTCAAGTAGGAACCAATAGTAGAAGGATGAAGCATCTTGCCATATGGTGACTGTAATGAGGAAAAAGAGAAAGATGAATATTGACCACTTTATCTTGATTTTTCTTTTTATATTTGAGATTATTATGTAATGGCATTGTTTCTCCCTTTCATTTCCTCCCTCCAAACCCTTCACATATCCCTCCTTTTTCTCTTTCAAACTCATAGCTCTTCTTTTATTAAATGTTACTATATGCATATATTTATGTTTCTACATATGTATTCCTAAATATAATATGCTCAGACTCTATAATGTTACTTGTATGTAGGTTTCCAGAGTTGAATATTTGGTATTGGCAACTATTGGTATGCTTTTACTTGCAGAAGATGATTTCTCCCACTCTCAGTATTCATTAGTCACCTATAGTATTTTTGTATAGTGTTAAAGTTCATGGTATTTTTTGTCATTCATTTGTTATTATTCTTATGTGAAGTAATATCATGGAAGGTATATATTATGGAAATAAAATATACAGATGTTGACCTATAGTTTTTCCAAACAATACCAAATATGCCTTATTTGACTAGCTATCCAATGCTAAATCAAGTTTATAATATTTTGTTGTCCTCTGTAAGTCTACCACCTGTCATTCTGGTAAGTTATATACTGTTGGATTTCTCTGCTTGTCCATAGGGAAGCAAAATATGTTGGGATTAAGAAGGTTGTAATACTAACTAATTTAGATAAAATTGATGCCAACATTTCAGTGGCAAGAAGCCCAAATAACTTTTCTATAGGAATTATGATGTATTAAAAATGCATCAAATTTTAATTGTTGTACTTATTCATGATTTTTATATTATTAAAAGACATTATAACAAGAATCCAACATAGACATCCTAGCCTTGGTCTTTATGCTTCCCTCTGTCTACACAAAACCCAACCACTTTCTTTTAAATAAATAGTCTACTTATAAGAATGTACAAATGTCAAACAGTGTCAAAGAATTGTCTTTAATAATAGAATATAGCTCCCAAGGTCCAAATGAGGAGCAGAAGGAAGGAGAACATGAGCAAGGAAGTCGGGAACCCGAGGGGTGCGTCCATTCACTGAGACAGTGGGACTGATCTAATGGGAGCTCACCAAGGCCAGCTGGACTGGGAGTGATGGAGCATGTGATCAAACTGGACACTCTGATTGTGGCTGGTAATGGAGGCTGACTGAGAAGCCAAGGACAGTGGCCCTGGGTTTTGATTCTACTGCATGGACTGACTTTGTGGGAGACTGGTTTGTTTGGATGCTCACCTTTGTAGACCTGGATGGAGGGGGGAGGACTTTGGACTTCCCACGGGGCAGGGAACCCTGACTGCTCTTAGGACTAGGGGGGGGGGGTTAGGTGGGGAGGGGGAAGGAAAACAGAGGCAGGGAGGAGGTTGAAATTTTTAATAAATTAATTAACTAATTAATTAAAAAATAATAGAATAGACGGAGTAGCTGTAGAGATGTCTCAGTGGCTAAGAACACTGGATATTCTGTCAGAAGACCCGTGTTTGATTCTTAGCACCCATATGTAGCTTACAACCATGTGTAACTAAAGTTCTAGGGAATCTAGTACATTCTTCTAGGTCTTCAGTCACCAGGCAGTGCATGGCACACGCGCATACGTGAAGATAGAACATTCACAAGCATGATTTAAAATAAAAATAAAATTTAAGAACAGAGATACACTTGATGGCAAACTCAGTAGAGTGTGACCTCTCACAGTATGCTCACTACAAAGATCATCTATGAAACCCATCTCTGATGAAAATGCTGAAGTGAGGAAAAGAAGATTTGAAAGCATTCCACTGATCCACTGGGTTTCAACAATGTGGCACCAAGACATGACATCCAGGACAAATGTGTTAACTCTTCATACATTCATGACTATTCCAGCATCCCTGAACCCTGTGGGCCCTAGTTTGAACTCTATCAGGTATTTCATAGCTAATGTCTAACATTATTAAAGTTTGAGCAAATGAGGATGGCATAAAAGTCTGCAGGGCATATGAGTAAGAGTGAGGGCTTGGATTGGATGCAACCCACAGAACCACACATGTGGGGTAGAATTTTATATAATATCTGAGCCTCAGTATTCTTAACTCACTCACCCACTATGATAATTGAAACTTGTAAAATAATTTAGATGGAGTAAATGTCGTAACGTCAATAGACTTTTCTGTAAAATTTCTAAAAATGAGGTATCTATCTAAATATACTCTTTCTTTACTTTCTTTCACTCTTCTTATATTATCATGCTTATTACTAATAAGAATAGCAGATATAAAATTAATGGTACACAATTAAAATTGTAGTATGAGAACAATTAAATTGTGTGTGTGTGTGTGTGTGTGTGTGTGTGTGTGTGTGTGTATGTTTGAAATGTAGTTAAGGTCATGTTAAGGTTGGTTAAAGCATGTAGACTTTGTCATAACTGAGGGCATGCTTCTATTATGATAACTGTAAAATTTTACGGACACCTCTTATTCAGTTGGCTCTTAGTTACCAAATAAGAAAAGTTCAAGAATTCACTGAGGAAAGGACATGCAAGTTGGAAACCACAAGACCCTGAAGGGTACTGAAAATATGAAGGGTACTCAATATGAGATGTTATAGAAATAAATAATATTCAAAGTTGCAAAAAGCGGAGACATTTGTAATGCTCAATGTGTTTGTATCTTCTATATACACATGAAAATAGTTAAGCATGTGTATAATTCTATTCAAAGTGTTCTGTGCAACAATGTAGACATTGGAAAAACACGTTCTCTCCATAGAGAATTTTTGTATTGTCTATGATATTACTTAGCCTTTAAATTTCTTTGTAATTTATCTATTCCATAATGTGATTTAACATGATTATTCTTTAATTACTTCCTTCCCCCTTCTTCTTTTCCAGTTTTTTTCATAAAATTCATCGTTCAGATTTCTGCTAACAGGTTAACTATCATCCTCTGAGCTACCTAAAAGTGGCCATACGCCCTCACCTCTATGAAGCCATCAATATCTCTGAAGTCATGGGTTGGGGCCATGTCACATCCCCAATACATCCAAGACAGTAAGCAGTTCTTACACAAGCAAGCACAGCCTGGGTCCTATCATGTCCAAATGATACTGCTTTGCAATGGTTCTCTCTAGCCTCTGACTCTTGATAATTCTTCAGCTCCCCTCTTCCAAAATAGTCCCTGAAACTTGGGGGTTTGGTGATCTAAATATCTAATAGGTGACTAAACAAACCTCTAATACTTGTTCTCTGTACTTTTATTATTTGAGAATGTAGAAAATTCTCTAATAAGGCCTGAAAGGTTCAGCTAGTCTATTAATACAGAGATCAAAATTTAGAGGGAAATTTGAGACTGAGTAGTTTCTTTGACAATGGGTAAGAGCTATACTTATTTGTGAACATATAGATAAGTGTTAGAATGCAGTTAGAGATTATTCCAGTCCATTAGACTGTTGGGGTTAGGTGAGTGCACAATTTTTAGATGAAAGAGTGGGCACTCACCAGGCTAGGCCAGATAACATAATGTACCTTCCTGGCTGGATCTAGAAAGAAGGCAATGGCATGGGATGAAAGGATAATGTCTTATGAACCAAAGATTCTACTTGTGCACACAGCATGTGTATCCCAGCCCAAACCTGTAGGTTGGGCAAATATGGGTATGATTCCTGAGACAAGACAAGATGACTGATTGCAGCACCATGTGGTCCTCTTTGAGGAGTGTGTTGAGTGTAGTCAACTTAGGGATATGAAAGAAATCATAACAAAGCATCAGATTGCAGGCCTAGCAGAGCCTGTTGGGTAGCTATGGCATGGGGCAACAGTATAGGTTCCTGCAAGCTGAATGACTTTCTTGAAGTAGGCCAATATCCCATTACTTATTAATATGGAAAAACTTCTAATTGCAAATTTACACTCTGATTATAATAACTATATCAACATCAATATTAATTTAGTGTCACTCTAGTGTAAGTTGTGAATTATTCCAATAGCCAATCAAACCTTTTAAAGTTGTTAACATATTTGGTACTAAATGAATAAAAGATACAAACAAGTTATCTTTCTAGACTTTGGCATATACGCAAGGTTTATTTTTCTTTTAAAAGAAACCCAATACACCCAAGCAAACCTCCAAAATGTATAACACGAAGACTATTTAAAAGGATGCAACATCATGACTCTCCAGTTCTTGGGGATGAGCATATGTCACTATCAATAAGCACCATACATCTCAAGATCGTGAGAGAAAGGTCAACTGTTTGTAAATCAATGTGCAAGCAAGATGATAATTTACAAAGAGCAATAAAGCGAGAGTCTTCATCAGATGATTGAATGTCTTCAAGACCAGACCAGAGGGTATAATCCACATCTTTTGTTGTTCCATAAATCTGTTGATCAAAATGATGATCAGTCAGCTATTATTTACACAACTTGTATTTGCTTCTCCTCTCCTTCCTAGATGTTAAAAAACATTTAAGTAGAGGATAATAATATTAAACTGTTTGCAGACAAGTATCTGTTTTAGAATACCTGCCTGCAAGGGTGACAAAAATGTAATGGGAGGAACCATCCTCTCTTTGATTGGATCTAAGCAACAACTCCATGAGATATAACCCATACCTGGCACTGTTAATGCTGTTAATGAGGCTTAGAACCTAAAACTAGATAGGTCACAGAACTAGGGGAAACCTACTACTATTATTCATTAAAATGAATGTAGCATTAAACTATTGTGATACCTACAGATGTGTATAGTCCCCATCAGAGAAGTTTCTTAAGACTGTAGTTATTTAAAAATTATACACAACTATATAATGTGTATCGATTAAGAGACTCTGAACCTCTCAATCTAAAATAGGGTGTTTATAAAAAATCCTTCTTTTCAAGGATCCAGCATCTACATGGAGGAGGAAGCATAAAATTGTAAGAGGCTAAACTGGTAACAGACATCAAGAAAACAGAATCTTCCAGATACAACAGGACTGATACACACATAAACTCACAGACTTTGACAGCATGCATAAAACTTCCACAGGTTCAAACTAGACAAAAATCCCAGGACTGCTATGTGAAAGTAAATACAAAGTTCTATCTCTAACTAAAAAGTTATTTGCAATTGATAACTGACTCAAAAGGGGAAAATATCAGTTTTGTCCAATGGAGTAAAAGCAAGATGCGTGCGAACATTTTCTTAAATTTAATCTACTTCAGATGAAAACTGTCTTTAATAACTCTGAAGAAAGAGGAAGAGGATTTGATACTTGAGCACAGAGTTGGGTTTGACTTTGCAAGGCATGCTGATTGGCAAGATATTTTATGGTGTTAGGAGAGTCTAATGAAGTAGTCAGGAATATTTGACTCTACCTAGAGTTATAGGTACTGTTGAAGCTATTGTAAAAAACTTGAACTCTAATGTTTATCCATTAGTTCTGAGAATGTTTACAAGATTGGGCACCAAATTTTTTCTTGCAAATTGAGTTTTCAAAACTTAATATTTATTGCAGAAGTGTTATCATTCATGAGTGAGGAAAATAAAGATAAGTACACTACTCACCTTGTTTAGTATACCCTTGGAGTCTTCAAAAAGCTCTGCAGTTTTTGTCCTGATGTTTTTGGCTAATGATAGGACATCATCGTGTGTTCCTGGCATACTTCCAAGTATAATCAGGAGGTTGTGAAGAGTGTCATTCCAAGCTTGCATTCTACTGAGTATCAGTTTTGGAAAGTCTTCGAGCTAAGCAGTCAGATTTCATCAGTTATATTGATACATGAAAGAAAGAAGGATTAGTTGTTAGCTTTGGTTTTCTAACAGACTTGTGAATTAACTATCCATTTGTTATTTTATGGGAAGGTGGTATGGATTAGGAAAAAATAATATAGATTAATAAAGAAAAATGATTAACCTATAATTTGCCACCATAAAATAATTATGTATATACCTATTATTTCCAATAACCTATTTGATTGATCAAGTTGTGTTTTCGACATGAAAATCTGATCTCCTTGTAGACTCTTTCATGCTTCGTTATTTTGCTTGTTCAGGTGGACCCAAGAATTTTTAGGGGCTTAGGAGGTGTTCTGATTCAGGAAAAATAGATTCCCCCAGTGTAGTTGGATGAAAAATTAACTTAGATTCATAACACAGACAAACTAAGTGTTCAAAATCGTAATTTATTTTTAGGTTGTTTTAAGATACTAGTAAAAGCATTCCATTAATGCAACCTGGCATTAATAAGTATGGTTTCTTCAACCCAGAGCACTCCCTCTTTTTGCCTCTAGCAGATCAGTACAATTTTGGAACATATAAGTAAAGAACAATGGGATGTCATTGTCCTTAATAACAGCATAAATAGAAATAATGGAATTTTGATTTCCAGTGTGCTCCAAGATCTTACATGAAATTCATTCCTGCTTTAACAGAGTTTGTGTATTGATATCTTTAGTTATTACAGAGACAATGAAAAGAGTACAGTGAAGTTCAGTGGATATTGTGATGGAATTAAGAAAAATAAATGGGGGAAAGGACAAGATTTAAAAGTGTGGGCAATGCAGGTTCCTGGGACCACTGCTACATAACGAATAAGAGTGTGGACTTGTATTGCATGGAATTCAAGACCCATTCCGACAGAGAAGGCTGATTCCTCAAGTTCAGTAAAATTTTCAAAGCCTCTTTCTACTTAAATCAACAAGCTCTTGTGAGTGCTAATTGCAGCATTGTCAACAAAGTTTGTTGGGAAGTGCTTAGCCATGGAGTACCTATCTAGAAACCCTTTTTCCCTTCATTTTGCCTTCTTATTTTCACATGATGCCTCAGTCAGTTCATCTGAAGATAAGTTATAGAAAAGAATGATAAGATTGCAAACTAGAGTTGTAGTAATATATAGACCTTGTCATAACAACTGGAGGCATGCTTCGTTCTGAGGAACACTAGACAATGTTTATAGCACTCTCTTGTTCAGGTGCTTACAGTAAAGACAAAAAAAGATTATAGAAGTTGTGAGAAATAAACGGGACAGTAAGAAGCAGAAGTACAATCAGAAGAGTCTTGAAAATCAAGAAGACAGCAAGGTAGTAAATAATGTGAGATTTGCTAGTGGGGAGCCATTCACTGGTAACATACAAGGACAAAAATGTAATTGAAGTTATTAAGTAAAGACATGTGGTGAGATATTATTAAACTAAAACCCTCTTAATGGATAATTTATGGGCCTGCTACAATATTACTTGGCTTTTGCTTATTTAACATGAAATATCCAGCATTACTTTTCTTTGTTCATTCTCAAATCATTTTCATGTAGGCATGATTTCCACATCACTTACAAAGCCCCACAGCATGAAAAAGTGAAGTCAGTGTATTCTATTAGCTATTTAGGTTAAAAAAGATACAATTATAGGCTTACAGAGATCTTTTGGACTTCATCCATGTTTTCTGGTGTTTTGATGGAATAATTGTGGCAGGAGATGAGATTCTTAACCAGGAATTCTTGATTTGAGAGAAACTCAAGCATCTGTATATTTAAAATTAATATTGTGTTAATTTGTGTCTCAAGTATAAGTCAATTAAGCCACAATGAGAATATTAATGCACTCAATAGATATGTGATTTTTAAAATTGAAATCATCTTAAAAACTAATATTAAAAATTCAAGAATGTGAGTACTTTGTTATATTTCTTACTAATTGGGTCTGTAATCTCATTTTATTTTACAACTAAATGTAAACCCTCCAACCCTTTCTCCTACTTATTCTTCTCTTATTTTTTTTATTTAACTTAAATCATTCTATCTTGAAGTAAAGCTTTATAAAGTAACAGAACTGGTAAATACAAAGTGTCTGAGAGATCATCTTTCTCTAGATTCTGGACCTAGTATATGGTAAATTATATCTATGTTCACTAGTTTCTTGGTCTCTGTATCCATATAATGTGTATCTTTTAACTGGGCATTTTAAATTGTTTGTTTCTTTCTATTGTAAGTGAATATATACACCACTATGATTCAATAGTAAACATAAATACTGAATGAAATAATATTATGTTTGGCAAAAGCAGATAAAACAAACAGACTAATTTTAGGAGCTAGTAAGCAATGAAATAAAACAATAATAAAATACAATAATGTACATACTTATCAATATATAATCTTTAATATATTTTAAATATAACTATTAATTTAAATTTATTATTTATTACTTGCTTATTATTTAAATCTATAATCAACTATCATGTAAAAGTTTTATGCATTACCAGGAATTTTAAAAATTTGAAAGAGAATAAGTATGAGGAATGAGAAACCTATGATTTAAATCACAATAATAACATATCTAATGCAAATGCAGAAAAAGCATTCTCTTGATGCCTATTGTTTTACTTAAGCCTTATTTTTTTTCTTTTATGTTATCTGAGTTTGAGCAGATAACATGGAATTATCAGGAGGAGAAAGCCTGTTTTCCCCTGGCAAACAGTTTCTACTGAATGAACTCTAACCCTGGAGATCTCTTTACAGGATTCCTAATACTTGGGGTTCCTGAAAATCAGTGTTTTCCTTCCTTCTTGACATGGTTTCCATTCTGATTTGTCCTGTTTTCTCCACCCAGCTGACTACAAAGTAGTCCAACCTTCTTGGTTATCTGCAAGAAGCTAGATTCAGCAAGAGTTCTTTTCTAGCCAATATAATTACACTTTGATTTTACAATAATAATTATTAATGAGAAAGTAAATAAATGTTTAAAAATTATGTAAAACAGTTAAAATTATGTAACAGTTAAAGAAAGTTTCTTTCTTTCTCTTTCTTTCTTTCTTTCTTTCTTTCTTTCTTTCTTTCTTCCTTTCTTCTCTTTTTCTTTCAAATCAGATTCCCTGCAGCTTTCGCATTCTCATTTTGCTTTTTACTGCTGGAAGAATTCTTGTATAATAGTGCAAGAATGTTATATCATGATACAGCTGTTGATACTTGACATGTGCTACTTGACACTTGGTCTTCAACACTTTCTCTTGTAATTCAGGTAATGTCATTAGAATGAAGGCTTCTGCGAAGGAGAACATAGAAATAAGTGAGGCACTTACTTGATTGGATGACCCTGATGGTGAACTTATCTGAATCCAGATGAGGACCATGTCAAAAATATATATATATATAGTTAGTAAAGAGACAACATGATGACCTATTTATTAGAAAAAGCAACATTCTTTTGGAACCCATTTCTGTACTGAAGCATGTTTATGTCTCCTTCATGACCCTGACTGACCCTGGACAGACACCATACAGTCATCATGAAGAGAACCTGACTCTTATAAACCAGCCTTCCCAGAGAGTAAATTTGTGTTCCAGAAAACTTAATATGATACTCAGGATTTAGAGTTTATGAGAACCTAATATGTTGTTGCTTGCTTTTTCCCTCCTCAGATTATCACAGTTAACATCCATTCTATTCATTCCTTGTGACTCATTGTCATACACGCCTTCCCTATTAGATGGCTCCAGTGTGCTAAGTAAAGATATCAAGGGCATCTGGCTTCAGAGAAGGAAGATCATTGAATCTGACTTCTTTCTTGGATACAACTGTTAAAGTACTTTGTTCCAAGTGCAATGATATTTTAAAATAATTCACAAGTTTTTCTAAAGGAGAATAACCTTTAAAAATCATTATATTCTTTGCAAACCAGTAATTTTCTGGAGCTGTCCCATTATTAGGCTACTTTTCAGTTGTTGGTACTTTGTTTTACCCGTGGGGGTGTATTATTTGAAACACGGATTTGAAGCTTTCCTATACTAAGTTCAAACATAGTCATTAACATGAAGACTTGGAGGAAAGAAGATGGAAGCAAGTGAGGTACTTACAAATTTATTAGAAACTTTTTCAGATGACACACTGACGATCTGAGACAGGATGGAGAAAAAAAACTAGTGAGTTAAAAGACAACATAAATGCACAAAGAGATTTTTCTCTGGCTGTCAATTTCTATACAGAAGCCTTGTGTATTTTCTCCTTATTTTTAACTAACCAACACATTGTTCTCAGGAACAGAGAACTCACTACTTTTCTAAACTTGCATTCTAAGTGAATAAACTCATGTTTTATAACTTTTTAAACAAGAACTTCAGCATTTAAAAGCTTGAGAAGCTAAGGTTTGGTTTGCTTGTTTTTTGCTTGTTTGTTTGTTCAGTTTTTTCTGGTTGTTTGCTTGCCCTTTTCTTTTGCTACACCTGTCAATTTAGATTATTTTTGTTCATTCTATGTTACTCACTGTAATATGTTTCTCCTCTACTGGATGTATGCTGTGTGCTAAGAAAAGATGTTAACAGAGATGTGCCTCTAATAAACAAGGTAAGGAAGTCAGACCTCTTTCCCAGCTCTGTTTATTAGAAGTTTATTGACACAAATTAAAACTTAAGAAAATTTAAAGATAAGTATGGGGAAATTCAAAGACTTATTAAATTCTTCAAAAATCTTTGGGATTTCAGGAAACTTACTCCAATCTCCTTATTTCACTTTTCAATAAATGTTGTTTTATCTTGTTATTAGAAAGTGTCCTATTTGCCATACACCTTTAGGTAAGGTGTAAAGGAAATTTGGCTCAGGGTAAGTATAAATGTGGTATAGGACGACTTTTGACAAGGAAGTTGCTTTATGAGAAAGTAAGTAAAACTGACATAAGTGAAGTACTTACAAATATCCTGGGCAAATCCATGTTTAGGTCCCTGATATTTTTGTAGAGTAGCATTGCGTGATCCAAGAGTTCCTTGAGGTATAGTTCATCAGTCTCATTTCTGTTCAAAGGTACAGAGGCCACATTCTCCCATAAAAGGACGTTTGACACTAGCAGCACCAGAAATGCCCCTAATAAAAAAATGAATCATTCAGATCCATTCATCCAAAATTATCAAAAAGATATTACATCATCTTTTCCCAAAGCCTTCTCCTGTTGACTTGATACTGTATAGGAGTGAAAACATGTTTTTCACTGTGAAAATGTAATTCAGTTCTCATATTCACACAGATATATAGTATCAGAACTTAGTGAATTCCCAGAGTCTGGAATTGATATCAAAAATAACTATGAAATTTTTTATCATTAGAAAATCATATTAATTGTTGATACAGTATTATAAATTTATAAAGAATCTATGTCATTTTCAACTATCCCTTCCTACAAGTTTTTCCTTTCATTTTTGAAATTAATATAGCTACACCTTTTGCTTCTTCCCTTTCTTCTTCATAATACCCCATATAATTCTCCTTGTTCTTTTTAAAATTCATGGCTATTATATATTTATAATGTGCAACTCATATAGTTACTTGTAGGTAAGATTTTCAGTACCATTCAGTATTAGATAACCAACGAGTATGCTTTTTCCCTTGGAGAAGACTATTTCACCTTAGTTGACTGTAGCTCTTTGTGTAGGATTTAGACCTCCTGGACTTTCCCTCATTTATGTTGGAATATCTATTGTTTTTACTTTATTCAGCTCCTGACTAGAGAATTATGCTGGTGAGACTTTTTGGGTATAGCCTCTGACTTTTCTAGGAGATGCAACCTCAGAGCAATCTACCTGTTCCTCTGCATAAAACCCACACGTAAGGACCAGAAGTCATCACATAAGATGGGGAGGAAAAATATGAGTACTCAAAACTAAGTAAGAAATGTGTACATTTTGACAGGTTAGCTTGGCAGCTTTCATTGATATCTTGATGATTACAAAAGTAAACATGACTGCTCTGGTGCAGTCCCCACTGGCCTGCAGGCAGTTAAGAGACCTTCCTCTAGACTGTAACCAAACATCCACCACTGGATGTAGGCCCACCAAAACCCACTCCACTGTCCAACCCCACACACCTGAAAATCCTCCCTGTTGCCAGACTTCCCCTGCAATACCAGTGGACAATACAGGAACAGGTTCAAGCCACACCTGTTCGAAAATCAGACACTACAATCTACAAGAGTTGGAAGAACAAGCATAAGCACAAGCCACATGTGTTGGAAGAAAAGATGAGTAAAAGCTGGTATAAGAATGCATTCAATGACTATTTGAAATTGGTCAAATGATACTTAAGGACATGTTCAACTTCCTTAGCTATCAGGGAAATGCAAATCAAAACAACTTTGGGATACCATCTAACACCTGTCAGAATGGCTAAAATCAAAAATATCAATGATAGCTTATGTTGGAGAGGATGTGGAGTAATGGGAACACTCATCCATGGCTGATGGGAATGCAAACTTGTGCAACCACTTTGGAAATTAGTATGGTGGTTTCTCAGAAAATTAGGAGTTAACCTACCTCAGGATCAAACAATACTACTCTTGGGAATATACCCAAAAGATGCCCAATCATTCTATAAAAGCGTTTGTTCAACTATGTTCATAGCAGCATTATTTGTAATAGCCAGAACATGGAAACAACCTAGATGCCCCTCAATGGAAGAATGGAAAAAGAAACATGGCACATCTATACATTAGAGTACTACTCAGTGGTTTAAAAAAAAATGACATCTTGAATTTTGTGTGCAAATGGATAGAATTACAAAACACTATCTTGAGTGAGATAACCAAGACCCAAAAATATGAATATGGTATGCACCCACTCATTAGTGGGTATTAGCCATAAACAAAGGACATTGAGCCTATAGTTCATGATTCTAGAGAAGCTAAGTAATAAGGTGAATCCAAAGAAAAACATATATAGATTCACCTGGAAATTGGAAGCAGACAAGATTGCCTGAAAAAATTTGGAAGCATGGGTGTGGAGGGTAGAAGAAAATGGAGAATGAGAGTGTTGGGGAAAGCTTGAGGGAATGGAATAGTTGAGATGGAGGAAGGACAGATATGAGAGCCAGGAAAGAGATATCTTGATTAAGGGAGCCATTTTAAAGTTAGCAAGAAACTTGGCTCTAAAAAAATTCCCAGGAATCCACAAGGATGACCCCAGCTAAGACCCTAAACAGTAGAGAGGGTGTTTGAACTGACCTTGCGCTGTAGTCAGACTGATGATTATCTTAAATATCATCATAGAACCTTTATCTAATGACAGATGAAAACAGAGACAGAGACCCACATCGAAGCACTGGACTGAGCCCCCAATGTCCAGTTGAAGGCTAAAGCAGGGAGAATATGAACAAGGAAGTCAAGACCATGAGAGGTTCACCCAATGAGACAATGTGCCTGAGCTAATGGTAGTTCACCAACTCCAACTGGACTGGGAATGATTGAGGAGGGGACCAAATTAGTCCCTCTGAATGTGGTTTTCATTTGGGGCAGACGGAAGGACAAGTGACAATGGCACTAAGTTTCCTCTCTACTGCATGTACTGACTTTTTGGGATCCTGTTCTCTTTGGATGTATACCTTGCTCAACCTGAATGTAGTGGGGAGGGCCTTGGAATTCTCAGCAAAGTTCCTTGCCCTCTCTTAAGATTGGAGGGGGTTGGGGGAAGGTGTGTGGAAGGAGTGGGAGGAGGGGAGGAAATGGAAAATTGGCTTGGTATTTTTTAAAGTAATAGAATAATAAGAATAATATAAAAATATTAGGCAAAGACAAAATATTGTACAAAAAATCTTTGCAATAAAGTTGTAAACTACCAAAAGGAAAATAAAGAATGCATTCAATGACTGAAAGAGTGATATAACAGCATCAGAACCTAGTAATCCTACAACAACAATACCTGAATATTCTAATGCAGTTGAAACACAGAAAACAAACTTAAAAACTGTTTTTTGAAGATCAGAGAGACTCTCAAAGAAGAAATAAAATATTCCCTTAAAGAAGTCAATGAAAAGACAAAAATTGAAAGAAATCAAAAAATTCTGTAAGAAAGCAAAGAAAGTCAATAAAACGACTTTAAAACTGAAATAGAAACAATAAATAAAAACAGAAACTGAGGGAATTCTGGAAATGGAAAAAACAAACAGGAATGACAGATGCATCATCAAAAGAATACAAGAGATGGATTAGAGGATCTCGGTGTTGAAGATACGAGAGAGGAAATAGAGTCATCATTCAAAGAAAATGTTAAATCTAGTAAGTTCCTGATACCAAACATCCAAGAAATGTAGGACGCCATGAAAAGAACAAACCTAAGAATAATAGGTATATAATAAGGTAAGGAATTCCAGCACAAAGGCAAAGAAAGATTTTTGAGAATAGAAACAAAATCAGGATCCCATCTTTTTGCTGCATAACAGAAACACACCCCAACTTCGAAGACAAGCATTGCCTCAGAGAATACGATTGTGGAAAAATTCAAATCAAATGGTCCTAAGAAGCAAGCCAGTATAGCTATCCTGATATCTAACAGAACACACTTCAAACTGAAATCATTAGAAAAGATAAAGAAGTATATTTCATATTTATCAAATGAAAAATCCATTAAGATGAAGTCCCATGCTGAACATTTATACCCCAAATACAAGGTCATCCACATTTGTATATGAAACATTGCTGAAGCTCAGATCACATATCAATCCTCACACATTAATAGTGGGAGACTTCAGCACCCCACTCTCACCAACAGACGGGTCTGGCAGAAGTGTTTAACAGAAAAACAAGGAAATTAACAGATGTTATGGCTCAAATGGACTTAATAGACATCTACAGAACATTTCACCTAAACACAAAAGAATAGTTCACCTCATGGAACATTCACTAAAATTGACCAAATACTCAGTCATACATAAAGAAAAATACATAAAGAAAAAACGGAATAATCCCTTGTATCTTATCAGACCTTCAAGGACTAAAGTTAGAGTTCAACCAAAACATAAACTATAGAAAACCTAAAAATTCATGGAAACTGAACACCTCTCAGCTGAATCCCACTAGGGCAAAGAAGAAAGAATGAATGAAAGAAAGGAAGGAAGGAAGGAAGGAAGGAAGGAAGGAAGGAAGAAAGAAAGAAAAAAAGAAAGAAAGAAAGAAAGAAAGGACTTTCTACAAATCAATGAAAATGAGTCTACAATATATCCAAACTTAATGGATATATTAAGTTAAATATAAATATAAACTATATAATATTTATATAAATATATATATTTATATATATATATATAAATATAAATAAAAGACATAATGAAAGCAGTGCTAAGAGAAAAGTTCACAGCACCAAGTGTCTACATAAAAAATTTGAAGAGTCTCAGATAAACTACTTAACAGCACAACTAAAAGCTCTACAGCAAAAAGAAGTAAACTCACCCAAGAAGAGTAGATGACAGGAAATAATCAAACTCAGGACTGAAATCAATAAAAATTACACAAAGATAATAATACAAAGAATCGATGAAATAAGGAGGAGGTTCTTTAAGAAAATCAGCAAGATAGACAAGTACTTATCCAAACTAACCAAAGTCAGAGAGAGAATGTCCAAATTAACAAAATGAGAAAGGAAAAGGTGATATAACAATAGACTCTGAGGAAATACAGAGAATATTATGTCATACTTCAAAAATCTGCACTTCACAAAATTGGAAAATCTGAAAGAAATGAACAACTTCTTGATAGGTTCCACATACCAAAACTAAATCAAGACCTGATAAACAATTTAAAGAGACCTATTGCCCCTAAGGAAAGAGAAACAGTCAATAAAAGTCTACCAACCATAAAATCCAAGAACTAGATGGTTTCAGTGCAGAATTTTATCAGAATTTCAAAGAAGAGCTAATACCAATACACCTCAAATTGTTCTGCACAATAAAAAGAGAGAAGGAATATTGTCAAAATCTTTCTTTGAGGCTATAGTTACTCTAATAACGAAACCAAACAATGATTCCACAGAGAAAGAGAATTTTAGCCCATTTCCCTCAGGAACGATGATGCAAAATACTCAACAAAATACTGAAAAACCAAACCCAAGAAAACAACAAAAAATCATCCACCATGATCAAATAGGATTTATCCCTGATCTTGCAGGGATAGTTCAACATATGATAATCTGTCAATCCAACATATAAACAAAGTAATGGAAGAAGAATCTCACATGAAGAGTTCATTATATGCTGAAAAAAATGCCTTTGACAAAATAAAACATTCCTTTATGTTATAGTTCTGGAGAGAACAAGAATACAAGGAACATCTCTAAATATAATAATGGTATAATACAATAATATATATAGTACTAATACTTGAGGTTGTATCTGGAGAAATAAGACAACTAAAGGAGATCAAGAAAATACAAATTGGAAAGGAAAAAGTCAAACTTTACTATTTGCAGATGATAAGTTACACTAAAAATTCTGCAATAGATCTCCTACAAGTGGTCAACACCTTTAGTAATGTGACTGGATACAAAATTACCTTAAAAATTTCAGTAGCCTAATATATGCAACTGATAAAAATGTCAAAAAGAAATCAAAGAAACAACACCCTCTATATCAGCCACAAATAACAGAGGAATAACTCTTACCAACTAAATGAAAGACCTATATGACAAGAATTTTAAGTCTTTGAAAAAAGATATTGAAAAAGATTTTAGAAAATGGAGAGATATCCCGTGTTCAAGGATTAGTAGGACTAACGTAGTAAAAATGACAATCTTAGCAAAAGCAGTCTACAGATTCAGTGCTATCTCTCTCAAAATCCCAACACAATTCTTCACAGACCATGGAAGAACAATATTCAACTTCATATGAAAAAAACAAAACAAAACAAAAAACCAAGATAGCTAAAATAATACTGTACAATTAAGTAACTTCTGACTTCAAAGTCTACTATAGAGCTTTAGGAATAAAAAATAGCTTGATATTGGTATACAAATATGTTGCAGGGAGCAGAGCCCCTTGTTCAGCTTCCTGGCTAGCTTACACATGAAATAACCACACAGAAATGGTACTAATTAAATTACTGCTTGGCTCATTAGCTCTAGCCTCTTATTGGCTAACTCTCACATCTTAATTTAACCCATTTCTAGTAATTTGTATATCACTACAAGGAAGTGGCTTACTGGGAAAGATTCAGCATGTCTGACCCTGGCAGCTCCATGGTGGTTTTCTGACTCTGCTTTCTTCCTCACAGAATTCAGTTCTGTCTCCCCACCTATCTATGTTCTGCCCTATCACCAGGCCCAAAGCAGTTTCTTTATTAACCAATGAAAGCAACACAAATACAGACGGAACTCCTATACCACAAATAAACACATGTATCAATGGAATTGAATGAGTACCCTGACATAAACCCATATACCCATGAACACCTGAAATTTTTTTTTACAAAGAAGGCAACAATATACAATGGAAAAAAGAAGGCATCTTTAACAGATGGTGTTGGCTTTATCTGATTTTATTTGTCCTTATTAGGCAAGAACAAATATGCATCTGTAAAAATGACACCAAGAAAATAAATTGTCCAGAAGATTTTGGACATCAATGGAATGTCCTCGGTTACTTAAAAGTCCACTAGAAGAGTTACTTACAGGAGCACGGCTGAGAGAAAGATAGAGGCATCTCAGAGGAGTCCTTAGCACAGCTTGACTGCTTCACTGCAGTCCTTCCTCCGGTAAGTAGTCCACCCCAATAAATAGGCCAGTGAACCATCCTCAAGGCCACATCCCGTAGGAGGAAGAAAAAGTAAGATCAGGAATGACGGTAAGGACCATATGACTCTTCAGCCTCATGGCAATGATGACGCATGTCATCAGTATGACCTTTTTACTTGATTTTGAGGCTACGTTTAGGGACCAAAATGAAGCTACAAATCACTATATATATCTCGTCTCCATCAAGTAGTTTGTGAATTCCATCCCCTAGCAAAATTTCTGTGTCCCAGACTTTAACTTTTTTTTAGGATACTTGAGTGTTTCTGTCACTGTGTCTTGCTTAAGGTCACATATGTACGTCACTGTTTCTGAGCATTAAAAACAACAAGGCCATGGGTACAGTCTTCCTTCAGAAGAGTTTAAAATTTGCAGTTTTTTTTATTGGTCAAATCCAGGGAACACAGTAAAGTGTTTGTTTCTGCATATTAGGTCAGTAATGTATGGGGCAAATCCAGGTGTGTAGAGGATTTGCATGTGTTTTGTGTGTGTGTGTGTGTGTGTGTGTGTGTGTGTGTGCGTGTGCTGCAGTTGTTGTTTCAGTATTTTTTTGCTTTTGTAGATAAAGTACTTTCATTTAACCAAACATCATATAGGGTCCTCACATGGCAGCTTAAAATACCCTAAGTCATATATTTTCTGCAAGGTTTAACCTATACAAACATAGGTTCTGTCTATGGAACTTGACCAAAATCTAATCATAAAATAATTGGCTGCACCTGATGACAATTAAGTATACAATTAAGTATAGGGTCTGGTCAGAACAAGAGTTCTTTGAGTAGAGGAGGAGATACAAGTGAGGGTCTGCTGCTGATAGAAGCTGGTTCTTTGGTCAAAGAAAATCAGAGAATTTGTTTATTTCTTCTATCACTGAATCCTGTCATCACACTGATCTAACCAACAAAGAGGACGTGGTCAAAGGGCAGTCAAGAGGCCATGAGACCCAAGGATTACTTTGAGGAATGAAATGATACAGAATAGACCTAGCCCGCTTTATCCTGTAACTAGGATGACCTTGAATTCCACATATATTGCTACCCCATCGAGCACAGGTAGGGTTCAAATGCCTCATTGAGAATGAGAGTATTTTAACAGAGGGTTAAATGCTCTACTTTATCACTCTAATTCATTGAGCCCAACTGAACAAAGCAAGGCATTTTTTTTCATTGTTTTAGTAAGAGCATGTCAATATTTTATAAATACCCTTAATTATCAAATTCCAGTATCAGCTAGCTTCCACAGTACTAGTTTCCCATACAAACTTTTTACAAATTATGTTTTTACTTAATCTTCCTTATTAACTTTCCGTTCTCTTGCCCCCTTCCCACATTACTTAATATGTCTTCCTTCCATTATTTCTTTGTCCCTTAATGCCATAGGTTTTACTATTCCTTCCCAGTATTGATATGTTGCTACTCATTTCATAGACCTTTGACAGTTTTATGAACTCTAAATATACTTCAATTTAAACCCTCATATCTAAAGGTACAAAGATAGGGATGTAGAGGGATGACTTATTGGTTAAGAGCATAAACTGTTCTTCTAGAGGACCTGTGTCTGATTCTCAGCACTAACTTCTGCCAGCGTGAAACTTCCTGTAACTTCAGCTCCAGGGTAATCAAACTCCTCTGACCTTGATAGGCACCTTCTCTTGTGTGCAGATGCCTACACTCCAAAACACATACTAACATAACTAAAAATAGTAAAAAATATGTTTGAAATTTTCATATATATATGAAACAATATATATGAGAATATTTATTTATTGAATATATATGAATATATATATTCATATGAAAGAGCATTTGTCATATGTCTTGTGGCGCTGGGTTACCTAACCAAGAATGATATGCCCAGCTACATCCATTTTCTTGCAAATTTTATTATCTTTAGAGCTGACTAAAAATTCATTGTGTAATGTATCACATTTTCTTTATCATTCATTGGTTGAATAGGTGTAAGTTATTATCATTTCTTGTTTATTGTGAATAGGATGGCAATAAACATGGATAAAGAAGTATCTATGTAGAGGGATATAGAATCCATTGGGTATACACCCAGAAGTTGTATAACTGGGTCATAATGTAGATCAATTTCTATATTGTTGATGAATTTCTACATCAATTTCCATAGTGACTACACTATATTATATTATATTATATTATATTATATTATATTATATTATATTATATTATATTAT